GTTATTGCCTGGCCTCTTTTGTTGAAGCCGAGGGGAGTCCATAGAAAATAAGGGTTTTTTTTTTTTTTTCTTGGGCCTTCCAATTATTTTCGGCAATCAAACATATAAGCCAATTAAGACCGAATAAAATGACAAGAATCAAATTATACACTTAATCATTGGCTTGTCTAGTCTAAGGGAAGGAGTAATCGTTATGTAATTATTATTGTGACTTTTTTTTTTTTTGAAAATTGTGAAAATTTGAATAAAAAAGAAGAAAAGTTTTGATTTTATTCAAAAGGATTAAAAAAAAATGATACATGACATTTATAATTAGTAAAAAAAAAAATTTTTTAAATAAAAAATAATAATTATTACTCAGTATTTATTTTTTTATTTTGTGCTCTAAAAGCACATTATAGATGAATTGATCAATATTTATTACTTAATTATTTTCTTAAGGTTCTTGATAAATGAACTTATTAGTAAATCAAAGTTGTTTTGCTTAAAAAAATGAAGAAGCTAGAATCAAATTTTACAAGAAAGAATCGATATGGCACCTGGCCCTTGAGGCCTAGTGGTATAGCCACGGTGCATTCCTCCTCCTCCGGTAGGGTTCAAAACCTGCACTTGCAAAATATATTCAAAAAAAAAAAAAGAAAAAAAGAAGAAGAAAGAATCGATATGAGATATCAGTACATTTAATAAACAAATCCCAGCACTACTCAAAACTAGGTTGATGATATGAAATCTAACTGTACCTTTGAATCTCAGAAACTATAAAGAATATAGCTTTGTGATTGAAACATCATTTTTTGCCGATGGGACTAATTCATCCTTTAATTTCTTGGAGTCTAATAACAATGCATTGTAGCCACTTAAGGATGACATGTCTGATTCTATGGTGTTGTGCTTAAAAAATACAGGTTGAGAGGGCACTTGGAGATTGGTTGAATTGCTACTAAGCATAAGAACATTTGAAGCCATGTTTGGTATGTCAATAACATTTTCTTGAGCACATGGCAAACCAATATGGATGCATCTCATCATTTCAGCAATTGAACTATTCCTCAAAATTGGATCTATGAGATTTAATCCTATCTCTTCCCTCCAATTTTTCTAGGCCTACAAAAAGCTACAAATGCACATGCTCATAGAGCATCACAATGAGAACCAGCTAATATTTGAACTTTTATTTGTCACAAGACATGAAAGAAACATAAAATAAATAGAGAGTGTTGTGGCGCGCAGTCCACGCAAGATGGATTACATTTTAGCTTTCTAAAATAAGTATTGATTGTCATACTTACATATACAACTTAGTAGGTCTTCGATGTTCTCCCCATTTCGAAAACAATTAATTTTTTGACTATTGACAATTACTAAAAGTAACACACCAAAATTAAAGACATCTAAAATTACTGAGAATAATTGCCTATACATTGCAGAATATGGAGCCATGCATCAATTGCATGAATATCAACAACAACCAGGTCATTTTCAATATATAAAAAAAATGATAAACTCAAGTTCTAAGATTTTCTTATGTAATACATAAGAAAACCATTCTCGGTAAATTCATGCTTCTAACGTGGAAAAAGCTACTTGGACATTTATTTGCATAAAAAACAATTCAAAGTTTCATTATTATTTATACTTACTAAGTTCCCACAATTCTACTGGTATTGCCTTATATTTCATCTCTTACAAATAACCTTGCCATACCGAAATCTACTATTTTAGAGTTTATATTTTTATCTAACAAAATGTTACTTGTTTTGAGATCGCAATGAATTATTAGAAGATGAGAACTTTCATGCAGGTAAAGGAGATCTGTAGCTATGCCTTTGATGATTGTGAAACGTCTCTTCCAATTGAGCTGTGCACGTTGTCATAATTCAATTTTTGCCCTACCTATTTTCAAAACACATGAAAAAGGGAGAAGAAAAAAAATCTTAAGTTTTCTAGTAATTCATGTTTTTAAATTACAATTCACAAAATATTTGAGTTTTAATATGATTTTGAAAGTAATGCCGAAAATGGTCAAAGAAAAATCAAGATTAATTCAAGTTATTGACAATTTGTACTTAATTGAAAAACATTTAAAATAAGGGCTTTGTTTTGTGGGGACCTAATTGTTACGTGGATTAAAGTAAGGGACCAAAGTGTAAGGCTGGTGAACCTTATGAACAAACGACGCCGTTTTGATCCAAAAGACATAAAATGTAGTGGGGGCCCTAGTCCTCTTGTGCCGCCACTTGCAGGATGGGATTCCTCCCACTTCCTCTCCAAGTCGGTCCCTTCCTCTTTCATCTCATGTGAAGGGATCTACGTGGAAGCCTTGTCTCCAAGCCGTTCATCTTCTCAACTCATGGATCTGAGGCAAGTTGAAGGAATCTAGGGCTTTAGGTGGGTGGCAACTCTGAGGCCAGGTGGGCGGCAATTCCAGGGCTAGGAACGATCGGGATTGAAGGAAGGCAATCGGATGGCTGGGGTTTTGTTTCTCCCTCCTCTGATTTTGCCTATAAAAAAAGGGAGAGAGCTTTTCGGGTGAAAGAGGGGAAGAAAAAGAAAGAAAGGAAAAACCCGAGAGAAGGAAGAGAAGAAAGAAAAAGAGAAGAAAAAAACTGAAGAAAGGCAGAAAGAGTGCGAGAAAAAAATCAGAAAGTACTGAGGTTTTCGGGCTTGAGGAATCAAAGGCAAAAAGGGAAGTTTGAGTTTGCTTCCGGAATCTAGAAGTGTTGCCGAACTTAGGTATTTTGTTCTTGATTCATTTCGTGTATATCATGCTTAAATATTGAATGAGAATCTGATTTTTGCTCCTAGATTTGTGTGTATTTATTCTGAAATTTTTGTTTGATGATTGTTGTGGTTGAATTTTTATGGAATTGAGGTTTGAAATCGTTGATATTATTGTATAAACAAACTCTGTTTAACTTGGTTTATGCCTAGGATCTGTTTTCCTATTTTTATTAGTTTTGTGGAATTTTTCTTGAATTTTTGTGAAATTGCCGGAAACTGGAGAGCTGGGCCGTAATGCCGCCGGAGCCCGGTGACCTTGCCGGATTCTGCGAAAAACTAGGGGACCTCTTTTTTTTTTTTTTTTTTTTTTT